CCCCCCCCCCCCCCCATCCAGAAAGGTACTTGGAAGCCATTCATTGTAGGCTTCCTCCAGAGTGATGGCTTACACCAGAGGAGCTGCCTTCTTGGTGGAAGGTCAGGGGATAGGGGAAGAAACTGTTTGACCTAAGTCCTGGATAATATCCAGTGGATTGGCGCCGGAGAGGGTATACCACCATGACTTTAGCTTTTTGCCTCCATTAATGGATTTTGTCTTTTCTCCCCGTTTCCAAGCCAGGTTTTCCCTATGACTCACAGCTTTGGCGTGCTGTCTTGGGCCCACCCAGTTGGCCTGTTGCTACAACAACCAGCAACACAATCCCAAAGCACCTCCCCCAACCCTGGGCACAGAGGCTGGGCACCCCTGTGCCACCCCTACTTCCCTGGCAGAGCTCCTAAGCTAAAGGAGGGGCCTCAGGGTGGCAAGGAGAGAGACCTCTGTTTGTTCTGTTTCTACATTTTTATTAAACAAAACCACCAGTCCCAACAGGCTTGGTTTCCAGAGTTACATTTAATGACCAGGTCTGAACAAAAGCATGCACAGCTTCCCCTGCCCCCCACCAAGCACACACAGCTCCCCAACCCAGGAAAGCGCCAGTCCAGGATGAATTTTAGAGGAACCCCAGGATGGCTCCCAGCCCCTTCCTCTTCACTCCCCAACCCCACTATATGAACTTAAGATCCTCTGGCTTAGGAAGATTTTTATATTATTATAATTTAATTGAGCACCTACTATTTGCCTGGTCCTTGGCCAGGCACTTCACATTTGTCAGAGAGAAGGGACAGGTGTCATATGGCTCTGGGTAGAGCCTCTCTTGACTTAGTTTTGTACCCAACCACTGCCTGTGAATGGCCAGAGAAGACATTGCAGAGGTCATTCAGAGACCCAGGATCTGGATCTGCTCAGAGGCCATGTTAGAGGAGGGTGCAGATGGGGAGAGGTGAAAGGGCAGAGTCTTAAAAACTCAGGACCTCCACTTTAGGTTACCAGGACAAGGGGGTGAAAGACACTAAAGGTAGAATGTCCTTCTTTTCTGCTATAGCCTGATTCTCAACAGGGGGCATGTTGCCCCCAAGTGGGTGGAAATTGGTTCTTGCGGGGGAGGGCACAAATCTTAGATATTTCAATAGTTTGTGGGGCTCCAAAGAGTCCTGATATATAGTATATCTGTAGTGTTAACATTTCATAGGAAATAGATAAGTAATGAGAACCTGTTGTATAAAATAAATAAAGTAAAATAAAATTCAAATTAAAAAAATGTCATGGGGGAGAGGACAATTAGGGGAAAAAAATGTCTAAAAGGACTCCTTAGGAGAATGATATTAAACAAACAAAAAAAAGGTTGAGAAACACTGTGCCATAGGGAGGCCAGAGCCAATGAAAATGTACCCCCTTCTGGCCTCTCTGAGTTGGCAGCTTTTGGGTGCCCCACCCAAGGCAGGATCTGGCAAACATAAGGGATCTCTTTGCAAAACATTTTCTAAAAAAAACTGGAAAAAAGTAAGTGTCAGTGTTTTCCCAAACTATAGAGAGGGGGTGGAGAGGGCACAGAAAAGACCCCAGGCCTGGGCTTCATGAGGGCCCTCTCCAAAGAGGCTTTGAACCAAACTGGTCTGTCCCTGAGGAGGAGGCAGAGGGGGAGGGGAGGGGGATTCAGAAGTGTGGGCAGTTGCAGGCTATCTCATGCAGGCAGCAGTGGGTGCAGCTCAGGTGTGGTGTCTGGAGCATCTACTGTTAAGACAGAAACCAAGACGTAGGGGATGGCCCTTCCCATCGCCTCCCACCCCATTGCCTGAACTCCCCATAATGAGAGAGTGTTTTCACAATACCCATCACCCAGTCACAACGGGCAGTGGCTTGGAAGAGACCAGTCACCCTGGACTGGCCACTGCTAAGCAGTGAGCTGGTGGTGGACTGGTTGTGTGACACCCCATGCCCACGGCCCCATGTGACCCAGGAGACCCTAAGTACCCCCACCGGCTGTTGGCTCCTCTGGGGTGGGCAGAGGCCCAGGCTCTGGGTAATAGGGCAGGGTCCTAGGTGTCTGGTCAAAGGGTGGGAGCTCAGGCACTGTCTCAGGCTTCAGGTCAAAAGGCTCAGTCTCAGGCAGAAGGTCAAAAGGCACGATCTTGGATGTGGCCAGCTCTGAGGGTACATTCAGCTTCTTCTTGGGCTAAGATGAGGAAAAGGGGTTTAAATGGCGCTTGGGATGGGTGTGGACGGAGTTGGGGGAAGGAAGCCTTGGTTGGCATGCAGAGTTGGGGCTGGTGAGTAGAGGGGAGGGGAGCACACAAAGATTAGGATAGAAAGACACCACAGTTTAAATGCTTCAACAAGAGGGCCCCAGGGCCGAAAGGGGAGGGACAAACCCAGGCCCATGAATTAATAACCACAGTTTAATCAGAACCACCTCCCTGCCTCCCTCTAGAATCTTCCCTAGTCCCATCCTTGGCCTCCTACCTTCTACCCCGACCCTGCTGTGGTCGTGGGATGATGCTGTTGGAGGTTGCAGTGATGGGGGAAAGAAGCTGCTGGGGGCGGGGAAGGAGTTTTCTAAGAGGCCACTTGTTAGACTCCAACTGGGGAGTCTCCAAGGAGTAAAAGAGAAGGCAAACAACTTCAGTGTCTTGAGTCAGATGCTGCTGATCCCAGTTATTCCCCAGGGCAGGGTGGGCACAGGTGCCGCCCGGATAGGGAGAGGGAGAGGCATGGAAGAGGGACATCCTGGCTATTTCCCTTTGGCCACATCCCCACCTCCTGCCTTCCTTGCCACCCATCCCCCCACCCACTTATAGGCTGACACCCAGATGCACAGAGGAATCAGGATCAAAAACAAAGCTATTGATATTTGGGGGAATTCCCTGGTGGTCCAGTAATTAGGGCTCTGCACTTCCATTGCAGGGGGCATGGATTTGATCCCTGGTTGGGGAATTAAGATCCTGCATGCTGTGTGGTACGGCCAAAAAGAACCCCCCCCAAACCAAGCCGTTTTTACAACCAGTGGGCCTATGTCCTGAGACACCCAGCAGCAGCTCCCAACTCTCCCTCCTGAGTGGCTGAGCTGCCACTCTTGCTTTGGACAATCAGGAGAAGTCAGGGGAGGGATATTTAGGGGCACTACCGGACTCCAGCGACAGCCACAAATACCCAAAGAAGCAGATGCCCACCTTCCCTGTAGGATACAGGGAGAAGGGGTGAGTGGCAGGGAGGCTGAGGAGAAGGGAGCCAATGTGGTCCTCTCTTAGCCAGGGGACACCCCTGCTGGCCAGGGAGCTCCACTCCTTATACCCAGCACCCCTCTCCTCCACTGCCATTGGTGACCACACATTGCCTCTGCTTCAGCACCATGAGGCTGAGCAGCTAATGGCCACCAACCTTAGCCACTCAGCTCACACTGTGCATGCACACACACACACACACACACACAGCAGCCCCAGTGCCAGGACTGTGCAACTATCTCCCTCAGAGAACGAAGGAGCCAGAACTAGCTTAGGGCTAGCCTCCTCCCTGATTTCTTCTGCACAGCCCGGGAACAGAAGGGGGAGGCCGGGAGCAGAAAGTGTAGCAGAAGAAGGGGTACACCTGGGCTCTTGCCCCAGCTTTGACCCCCAATCACTTGAATGACAGTAGGCAAGTGACTTCCCCTCTCTGGGCCTCAGCTTCCTCCACTACAAAATAAAAGAGCTGAAGTTGATTATCTCCAAGGCATCTTCCAGCTCAAAAAGTCTACAGTGACAGAATGATGAAATATTCACAATGGTATGGTTCAAAATAATAGAACAAACCACCACTCATCTCTGCAGTTGGTTGCCTAGCAACAATATTCCCTTTCCCTATCAGTTGCCCACTCTGTGCCCTCTCCTCCCTTTTTGATTTTGACCTTTACAATAGTCAGACTTTATTTGCTTTAAAAAAAAAATCAGAGGGAAGAATATGATTTCCTTTGGTCTTAGGAATACGTCTAAGAATATGCTCCCATGCTCCCTGCTTTGGGTCCAGTGACCAGGAAAAACAACCCAAAGCTAGCTCTTTGGAGGAAGGTATGGTAAACACTCTCTCCACTAGGCCACCGGGGTAGGGGGTGAGAGGGACCAGAGCCCCAAGTTGGGAAGAATTTTGGACAAAAGTGTGGGGTTCTTCTGGAACCAGATAGCCCTGATTTGCTTTGAGTCCAGGAAGGAGCTATAGGTTGGGTTAGGATTTGAGGAGGAGAAGCCAGCAGGCCCTCATTCCAGTCCTGGTATCCTCCCCTTTCATGCCCATGAGCCACCTAAGCCCTTAAATGCTTCCTGGTCCTGTCCTCAAGCACTTGGAGCAGGTCTGATGGGTCCGTGGGTAGGACCCATGCCTCATCAAAAGTACTTTAGCCTCCCTTTCTGGATTCTAGAAGAACTCTAACAATATCCAAATTAGTCGTCGTCTGGGAGAATTGGCTTCTTAATGACCACAGCTCCTCCTATTGCATGGTGCCCACAGTCGGCCTGATCTTCCCAGCGGTTCTCAGTCCACTACCCCTAGCTACCAGTAGAATTCACTTCTCTCGTTCACTAGCTGTTGCCTAATGAGGCGTCACCTGACAGGATGGGATGCCAACTGCTAGTTTTTGTTTGGGAGACAGGAAGGGAAATGCCAAAGAAGGACAGTAATGACTCAGAAGTGGGTTCAAGGTGAGGGCCCTGATATCCTGTGATGGGAAGGGCTGAATTTCATGTGTGTGTGTGTGTCTGTGTCTATGTAGGGAGGTGTCAAATGCAAACATAACCCGTGAAATCATTATGTCTAGCAGTTCCCTGAATCTGGGTGGGGTCACACAAGGGATTCCCTCCTTTATCCCCCAGGAAAAAGGTGTGGGAGGCTAGATGGCTTGATCCCACAGCTGAGGCCTTCCCACCCTTTCATGCTCCCTCCACCTCACCCCCGCTTGCCACATCACCACCTCCCACATCTGCAGTGGGGAATACCATAACACTTCCCCTGCTCCCACACTGGAAAACTCATATCATCCCAGGAGGCCTTTTTCCAGATCTCTCTGCCTGGCCACCCAAACATCCTACCCCCTCAGCCTGAGTTTATCGTAAACGTTGCTGCCCCCAATCTTCCCTATTAGGTCTGCCAAGGCCCAGAGCTATTTTTACCTCATTCTCTTCCCAGGCCTGCAGATCTCAGGGAGGAGCAGCCTCCAACTTCCTCCAGAAGCTGAGTACTCCACCCCCTCGCCCCCACCTGGAACATCTGCTCTGCAACTCAGGGAAGATTCCCTGTTGCTGGAATCTTTTCCTTACCTCTGAGCTCCTCTGTGGGTCGGGACCACTTTAGGTATTAGTTATTTCTCCTGTGGTTTGGGGGCTTAGGGTCCCCAGCTTGAGCTATTCCTTCTCCCTCAACTCTCTGTCCCCCACTGGCCTTGATGCAGTCAAAGCCATCCTGTGATTAGACCCCCTCCCCACGGCAGATACACAATATACAGACACACAATCTGTGCCAAGTGCCGAGAGGCAGTAACAGAGACACGCCATTGGCCTCTGCACAGAAGTCTCTCTCCATACCAGTCCTCTCAGAATCTCCATCTTTGACATAAGGAGGTTTACCTCCAGGCTGAGAATTTTCCCAGGTTCTGCGGTCTGTGACATTTCAAGTGAGAAGGGTCACCCATCCAAGCCCTACATGGCTCCTCTCTACCACACCAGGCTCTGGAGAAAAGACAGAGCTGGCTTGCTGCCCCACGCCCCTGCCCTGTTCTCCTTGCTTTGATGTACCCCAGCACTAGGCAGTTCTCTTTAAAAGTCACACCACACACACACACACACACACACACCCCATCCTACTTCCTCGGAGCAGTTAAATAAAGTAGAAACAATTCTGGGCAAATATTTTCTATCAGATAGTGCTATATGGGGGAAGCACACTGCTTAAAGGCCAAGCACCTCTCAGGAGGAGTCCCTGGGCGCTGGGGGGTTGGGGGAGCGCCATTTCAGCCTCTGTCCCACCACCACCTCCTCAGATAAGTGTCAGCTCACGAATGTCTACTGCCCCCAAACTTGTCCCAGTGTGCATTTCTCTTAGCTCCACCACACTGACCAAGCCAAGGACCTCACCACATCCCCTATGGTCACTCAGAACCCAGCGTACCAGGGCCTCTGAGCAGTCAGTGAAACCACAGCTTCCTGACAGAAGTCCTCTCCCTGGGGGGATGTGGGAAATCTGGCCTTCTTTTCTTTTTATTCCCTTCAGTAGGGGCAGGAAGGGGAAGAGGGGACATAGACTAACCCTTCCACCCCCACGATCTCACCTCCTTGGGTGGGAACATCAACCAGGCCCGCGGGAAGCAGAGAGGAGGCAAGGCTGGGCACATTCCCACACCATCAAAGATCACGGAGCGCTCGGCTCAGACCCACCCCTAATGGGATTGGAGAGGCAGAGTGGAGAGGAACAGCAATGCTGAGATTCCCAGGTTTACATGGGGTTAGGATACAAAAATTCCATTTTCATCCAGGCGGGAGGAATGGAGAGAGGTGCAAAGGAAGCAACAAGCTGTCTCGGCGGAGCCTGGGGCGCGCCAGCCTCCCGCCGCCTGTCCTCCAGCTCCTCGGCCGCCCCCGCAGGCATGCGGGGTGACTCACCGCGCCCAGATCGCGGGGCCCCGGCTGTGGGGAGCTGTCCCTTCCCCTCCACCAGACCCTCTAGCACTCCTCAGGCCGCGGGCCACCCTCCCGCCGGCTGCTTCCAACAGACTGAGGGTACATGCACGCCGCGGGCTAGGGTGTCCACAGGGGCCGAAAGTGCCGCGAGGCGGGAGCAGATCGCAGCGAGGGCGCGGCGTGGGCGGCCTAGGCTGATGCGGGGTCTGCGGGGGCGTGCTGGCAGTCGCGTCCCTCGCCTGGCGCAGCCCCCGCGGTGCGTGCCTGAGCCCTGAATCACCCGCTATATCGGGCGGGCAGCGTCGGAGGCCCCAAACACGGGCCGCGCCGCCAGTGTCCGCTTACAGCGGGCCCCAACGGCCGCCAGGCACCGCGGCTCTCCCCAAAACTTCCTCCAAGTAGGAAGCCTTTTGACAGAGCCATGTCGGGAGCGATCTGTGAGGGGCAGTGTCCCCGAGTGCAGCCCCCTAACTCGGTTCCGCTACGCGTTTGACACCAGAGGGAGGGTGTGGGTGAGGGAGCGCAGGATGCAGAGCGCGCCCCTCTGTGCGCTCCAGCAGCCCGCCGCCCATCCCACTCCACCCCAGGAACGCTCGCTGGAAGGAGGGCGGGTCCCCCGAGCCGGGCCAGGCTGGAGGGAGAGCCGCGCCTCGGGTAGGTTCCCCCACCCCAAGCCCCGGGCGGGGGACGGCGGGCCTCTGGGCGGGGTCCGCCCGCCAGCTCACCTGGTAGATCATGACTTTAAAGTTGCGGCGCCGCAGCAGCTCGGCCTCGTTGACCTCCAGCTTCTTGATCTGGCCGGCCTGGCGTTCCAGGCTGCCGCGCACGGTCTTCACGTTGACGCTGACCTTGCGCACCTTCTCTAGCAACTTGCTCACGGTGTTGCTGGTGGTAGCGTGTGCCTTGCCCAGCTTGCTTAACTCCCCCTGTATGCTCTGCACGGCGCCCTCCATCTCCGCCTGCCGCTCCTCCAGCTGGGCTTGGGTCAGCTGGATCTGGTCGACGGCGCCAATGATTTTGTCCAGAAGGCTCAGTACCATCACGCCGTTCACCTGGTCCGATTTGATCAGCTCCTCAGAGCCGGCCCCCGACGGCTCCTCCGCCGCCGGAGCCCCCATGGTGGAGGACCCCTGGTCCCCGGCGTCGGGGTACCCGGGAAGTGGCTGCTCGATGATGTGGAGCTGGGTGTCCTCCATGGCTGCCCGGAGCCGTGCGGGGCCGGCCGGGTGGAGCTGGAGCTGAAGCGGGAGACCCGGAGAAGAGGAAGAG